TCTGAAACGGTATAGGGTTTCCTGCCTAGGCAGGGGGTTGGACTAGAAGACCTCCAAGGTCCCTTCCAACTCTGCTATTGTATTGTATTGTATAGAGCAACTGAAAACTGAGTTGGATTGTAATTGCCAGTATATCGGAATATAATACTGGGAATACAGGTAGTCCTCAACTTACAACAGTTCATTTAGTGAACATTCAAAGTTATAACAGCACTTTAAAAGTGACTTATGAGCCTTTTTCACACTTACGACCATTGCAGCATCCCCATAATCCTGTAATCCAGGGTTGTCCAAACTTAGGAACTTTAAGACTTGTGGACTTCAATTCCCAGACTTTCTCAACCAGCCATAAGTCTTAAAGTTCCTAAGTTTGGATACCCCTGCTGTAATCAAATTCAGATGCTGGGCAATTAATTCATATTTATGATGATTGCAATGTCATGAAGTCATGTGATCACCTTTTGCAACCTTCTGACAAGCAAAGTCAATGGATTCACTTAACTGTATTACTAATTTAACATTTGCAATGATTCACTAAACAACTGTGGCAAAAAAGGTTGTAAAATGGGGCAAAAGTCACTTAACGCCTAGCAACAAAAATTTTGGGCTCAATCTTAGCTGTAAGTCAAGGACTACCTATATTTATGGCCTCCATTCAAGTATCAAAAGCTTAGAATTTAATTTCAAAACTTCTACATTCTGCAGGTCTATATTTTGCATTTTTTAAAATATAACTTTGCAACATTTTTTATAGAACACAAAGACAAAAACGAACAAACATAATTAGTCAGAAAGAAGGATAGACAAAGAGAAACACTAAAGAGAAATTCAGAGAAAGGAGTGCAGAAAACAAGCTATAGAAAAACAGTATAAAAATGAAGTGACTTCTAACTTCTTTTACAAAAGATATAAATAAAATTTGAAATACACCAATAAAGAGCTATAGGATCCAGTAACTGGTAAAATCTACTGACCCTTTGACATATGGAAATTTTGCAATTTCCGACATAGTTTCTTTCTGCATGCAATGTTTCCATACCTTGGTGGAACAGGCTGAACATCAAAGGGAAATTCTTTATTATAGGTAAGAATACTTTTTAAGACTGTAAGAAAAGACAATAATAATTACCATCAAAATTCTATATAGTTATATAAAAGGAGTAGGGCTTAATCCTTATAGTCATAGTAAGAAAGCAGTAAGTCATTATATTTTTCCATACGTTAAGATTACTTAAATTAGCAAATGTTAAATATGAGACTTCTATATGAGCCATACTGGCACAGGAATTAGAACGCAGTATTGCAGGCTAATTCTGCCGACTGCCAGCAGTTTGATTCTCACTGGTTCAAGGTTGATTCAGCCTTTCATCCTCCCAAGGTTGATAAAATGAGGACCCAGATGGATGAGGGCAATATACTGACCCTGTAAACAATTCGTTTTATCTTTAGAAGACAGACAATATCTACGGCCGATATTGTGCAGGAACAAATTAGTTCATATGCAATTAAGAAATACATAGAATGATAGTTCTCAGTTATACCAAGTACATTTGTATGCGTCTGTGTATATATAATAATAAACTCATAGCAATAGTACAAATACTTGGAAAAATAAATTATGTTTCTAAGCTATTGGCAAAATAAATTCCATGCCTTTTGCTTTTCCAGTTGGAACAATCTCTGCCAACAAAGGAAAAACAGATATTCTCAAATGCTGATAATTAAACAACTGATAGTACTTCCTACAGTATATCTGCCAATAAAGCTCAGGCAATGATCCCCCAAGCAATTTATGGCAATCCTTTTGCCAATTAACCCATTCTGATAGCAACGTCCCAACCTCTTTTACTAAAAAACTCAATCATGATTGCAGAAACTATTGGAAAAAGACTATATTCTAAAGACTTCTTCCCAGGGTAAAATGGAATAGACACAGGAACCTTTAAGACTTTACTAATATAAAAAAGATATTATATAAAGTGAGTTTCCTGAAGAATAAAGTAATTATTTGCAAGGAAAAAGCACTCTATTGTATAAAATCTGAAGTTATAGAGATTATAAAATCCATTTTTCTGGTGGGGGCATTCCTTTAATACTTTTTTAATTAAAGTAAGAGAAATACTTACTTGGTTCTAGTTTCTTCAGATCCTCCAGCTTAAATTCTTCCTGGGACTGTGTAGACTACAAGAAAAATAGCATTTAACATCTACAATTATTATTCATTGCTATATACTAGTGAGTTACAACAGTTAAATAGTGGCAGTTTTGTAGTCTACAAGGATAAAAATGTGCAACCATAAATAATTAAAAATTCCACAATCTTATTGAGTATAAATCATACACACACAGCGCCTATTAACCTAATCAAGGTGACTTCATGATTCACAGAACCTCAGATGAACTTGGTTTGAACTAGGAAGCCATTCCAAAAGACCAGTGCCTCCAAACCTCAGTTCCTTTCACTGTCCTAAAATGGGGAATCATTAGCAGTTTTTTTCAATTACATCAAATGTAGTGGGCCAAATGCAATGGAAGAATGTGGTCCTGCTGATAACCTGGTGCCATATCAGATCCCATAGCACTAGTATAATGTGTTCCTACTGGAGAAGGCAGAGATTGCCTCATTTTCAACCAACTACCGCTTCCAAGTAGTCTTTAAAGGCAGAGTCACATAGAACACATTGCAATAGTTTGAACAGGTGGTGACAAGTGACAAGTCACTGTAGCAATGTCCTCCTAGCCCAGATAGGGCTAAAACTAGTACAACACTCAAAGCTAGGCAAAGACTTCCCTGACTACCTGCTGAAATTCTACCTGCTGTTCCAGCAAAAAACACAAGTCCAGGAGGACCCATTATAGAAGTACCACTGGAGCAGACAGAGAGCCTTGATGGACAAACAGTAATTCTGTTTAAGTTTCTTCTTTCCCATCCAGAATCTCAAAGTCTCCAAGAGGATTGTACTTCATGACCAGCCTGACCTGGGAGAATGATATCAAGCTGAATATCTTTAGTCCATTGATGATGCTGGATCCCAGATCATCAGTTGATATATAAGAATAACTTATAAATGTTAAATGGAAGGAGAGAGGCTGGTGGAAGGGGAGGAAAGTGACCGCTAGGGCATTCCACAAGAGAGCAGCCACAAACTCCTCTCCTCCCCGTCCTGCTGACTGGAATCATCCATTAGGAAAGGAGCAAAGTAATTGCAAAACACTGCTCTGGTTCTACCTTTCTGCAGTTGTATTGGAATATGGTGGTTATATATTGTTAATGCTACAATAAATAAATAATGAACAGCCAGATTTCATACTCATTCTTGACCAGCTTCAAAATAAACCTTGGCTGAGATGTGATTGTGTGGATGCTACATATTTTCATATATGGTGGACTTGCAAAAAGGTTAAAGCATTTTGGATAAAAATATGGTGGATTATGCAAAATGTTCTTTAAAAAAGGATAAAGTATACCCCTCAGTTATTTTTGTTAGGTATAATTACTGATTGTACAGCTGTAGAGATTAATTTGATTCTGCATTTAATAACTGCAACTAGATTGTTGGTGGCGCAATACTGGAAGAAGGAAGATTTGCCTACTATTCAAGAATGGACATTGAAAATAACAAAACTAGCTGAGATGGCTAAAATATCTGCATATCTTAAGGACCATTTAAACGAGAGATTTAAACTGGAGTGGAAAAGATGGACTGATTACACTCAAAATAAATATGGGACTAAGAAATTTCAGATAGCTTATGATTAAAGACCAGGAATGATAAAAATTGTCTAGAGCTAGTCTAGCAAGGAGGAGCTAAAGCTCAATTGAAAGACGTTATTAACTATCTTTTTTTCTTTTTAAGTGTATTTTAGATTGTTTTTGTTAAAGATTTATACCCTGTATTGGTTCTGGGAAGTCGAGGGGGGGGAGGTAGGGGGGGGTTGGGGGGGAGGGAAGGAAATATTTGTGAAAGTTTGTTTTTCAAAATTTTCATTTAAAAAATAAGAAAATTTTAAAAAATAAACCTTTGCTAACGGGAAATATTTTTTCTTTGGTGGGATGCAAGTGGCAATAATATTTTTGTGAATATTACATAGTTTAGTGTAAGATAGGGAAAGGATAACAGTATTATAACTTTCAAGTTGCTTCAATAGAAAGATTAGAGAAACCAGTATAAACTAGCATTTTATATTGTTGCAATGTCAAATTCTTTTTTAAGATTCGTATTATAAGCCACTGCTTAATTTTTCTATTCTCTTAGACCCAGACATTGTAATAAATCACACACAACAGAAAGATGAGTAGAATACATGACCCTGAGTCACGTTTTTTAAAAAGGTGTTCTTTAAGCTTTTAATATTTAATGAAACCTATAAAGAAACCAGTAATCACAGGTAAAACCAGAATTATACCTGCAAAGCTGCACTCCTGAGTTCCAAGCATGTTGCAATCTTAGCTAAAGTTTTCTGCAACACAGAAAAGACAGATTAATTTGACGCTACCTGTTGTATTAATATTTTCATATGAAAGTAAACAAAAATAACTGTTAAGGATATACAGTATGGCTGAGGGAGCAGCAACCCAGTAGGTAAAACAGAAAAAAGAAAACCAAGTCCTTGACATAGCTTCTACAGGCAGAAAACACATAAATCAAAACTCTGCACCCAAAAAACAGCTTGTCACATTGAAGTTCCCTGTGTTCCCACTTCAGGCATAAATATGTTCATTTTTAAATGCAACTTCAGATATAAAAGGTCTGGAAACAGAATGCCATACAGTTAGCAGACTCCATTATGATGACATACATGTTCATATATTACTGTGAATCTCTTTCTATATATATATGAAAGTAGAAACTTTCATTTATGTACAGTAAGGATGAGGATACTATTCTCCTCTATCATATTCTCACTCACTTATCTCTTACAATAAAGCAAAAGTAATTGAGCTTTCAGCCTACTTTCCTTTTCCAGTTTAGCAAGTATGCTTAGCAGATTGTATTTTTGCCTTTAAAAAAAATTATTGCTCCTTGAATTTGGCAACTATTCTTTGTTATGAACCAGAAAGTTTTAGGATATATTAAAAGGCACTTGAGAATTGAAGAACGAAAGTATTCTGTACAGATTTTCTTGAAAGTTTTAGAGATAACTTTTTTAAGCAAAAGCCTCTTCTGAATTGTGGCAAGATACCAAAAAGTATTATTCACAACTGTTTCTCAGGAACCGCACCCAATACAAATATTAAAAAAATTAAAACACTACAGCTAGACTCAACTACAGTAATGTTTTTCTAAGTGATCCTATCCCCAACAAGGCACTTCACTATTCACTAATGAAAAATACCTTAGTAAACACATTAAATTAACGAAGTGAATCTTTATATCAACTTCATATTTTTTCTAAAAAAACCTTAAAAATTCCTTAATCACTAGATTTGTAACCTACCACCAAACAAGCAAACACATTTCAGATTTCATGCAAAATTTTATAGCTTCAATGAAATTCTATTTTTTCAGAAACTTAAATCAGTTTTTAAGAACAACCTTCTAAAATAAAAATACTTTCTGTATAACTGAATTTTTATGATTTCACATGGCCAGAAAAAGAAAAAAAGCTTTGTGCCAAAAACACAAGGTGTCAAATTTACAGTGGGAATATAGGAAGGAAGAAAGGAAGGAAGGAAGGAGGGAGCGAGGGAAGGAAGGAAGGATGGAGGAGGGAGGGGAGGGAGTATTTAATTCATCTAAATGCCAGAATTTTTGCTACTCTAAAGAGTAAGAAGAATTTCCTGGTCAGCCCAACACATACATCAGAGATTACATCTCAACATTAACACAAGAGCTGTTGCATTCAATTATTCTGTAAAACAACTCCAATCTCCCATAAAAAAGGAACAAATCCATGTCTTTTGTGGGATGTACTTTAAAGGTAGGGAAATTCTCTTCTCATATCTCATCATATACTTTTTACACATAGGATTCATTACTTAATGGCAGAGATCCTACAAAGCCTGAGAATAAATAAAAGGCTCTTTCCATCCATGTTACCGGGAGGGGGAGAGAGAAGAGGGGAGGAAAAAAAATGTCCACCTTCCAGTTGCAGCCTCTCATTTAAAAGTGTCCTCAAAGCCTCCAAATTCACAAGTTTAGATCTGGGTGGGCAGGAGTTCATAGGATGAAGAATAGGCCTAACAATATGAATAATACCCCACCAGTAATATTCAATATTAATCAGAGCCATTTTATCAATGACAAAGCTCAACCACAATTTAAGAGGCAGAATTTTAACTGTTTCTTTATTCCCTAACAGATTAACATAAGAGGAATAGAGTAGCAAGAAATGGCAGTCTGTGCATGAAAGAAAGATGCTTATGAGAAAAAAAAAAGTTAGGCCTTTTAATTCCTGATGGAAGAAACCTGTCTAGAAGAATCAATGTGTTTCTGGCAACCTGTCCTCTGAAATATTTAGCCTTCGGCTTTCAGGACAAGAAACCAGATTGTTCTTCTTTAAAAAGTGTAATAATCCAGCAAAAGTGATATATACCTCTTTGTAAAGTTGATGTAGAACAGGTATTTCAGAACACACTTTTTTCACATAGTCACTTGCTAATGTATTACGTAGTGTAGTGGAGGCATGTATAACTAGTATACAGGAAAAAGTAACAATGTTTCATTATAACCTTCTTAGATAATTTATATTGCATATGAATGCAATAAAATAGGTATTGTTCCTTTGTAAGCTATTTTATATCTTTAAAGAACTGAAGTATTAAGTTCACCCTCTGAATTTAGTGTATACAGATAAGTGCTAAACAAGCCCAGCACTTGAAAACCGTAGAGGACACAAGCAAATTATATAAATGACTGCAAGAAACAAATTAAACATTCCTTCTAAAAATAGATTCACCATGAAGTGAACATACACCATTATATACCTTTTGATCTTCTGTGAATTCTGAATTGTTGGGTTGAGACACTGCCTCTTTCTGTAGATGTCTTGCTAATCTGGAGAGAGGTAAAGAAAACAAATAATTTAAGGTCTTTAAGGAGTCTCTAATTATAAAAGTACTCATTATGAGATATAAATTAAATAGTACACTAAGCAAATTATAGGCAGAATGTATCTTCTGATCCCAAGAAGCTATAAAATAAAGAAGATAATCAATTTATCTATTTTCTACAAGATTTTTAATATTTACTGATCTAATAGTCCAGGGTTGTCACACTCCCAGCCAATGGGCCAGATGCGTCACATGCTGGCCACACCCACGCCCAGTTTAGCAAAGGAGAAAAAAAGTCCCAATATGTCATGTGATGCCACCGTGATGATATGAGTTTGACACTCCTGCAATAGTCCTTTTTTTATGCATGGAGAATGGAGCATATTCACTCTTATTGACTATGAGGGAGATTCTGCCCTGGCAATCTTGCCCTTAGCCCAAAGTAAAAGTAAATAAAGAAACTACTATAGCCCATGGCAATCCAAATTTTCCACATCTTTTCCAATTCTCTCAAAATAAACAAAACAAAAACAACAGTATATTTATAGTATCCACTCTCTTTGTAAATCTGTTGACAGCAGGACATCTTCTATAAATTTAAATCCATCCCATACATTTAAAAAGGAAAATTTTCTGCATTAAAGTACAGATGGATGACCAAGTCAATCATTAATGCTTTCATTATTTTACCTAAAAACTGCTTCCCCCAAATCTATGCAATTCTGATTTGTAGAAATGTGGTGTTGCTACAAAAGTGAACAAATACAACACATTTGTAATTTGATTACAGTATTCTTTCATATAACAAGCAATGCTGATCTAGATGCTGATCCTAGATTGCTTTATACAGAGATGTAAGAAATACATCTGACAAGGAAATAAATATCTATACTTCTTGAGATTCCAAGTTATTTACTCCCAATATCAACAACTCGCAATATTCAAAAATCTCTTCCTCTTCCAAACTGGGAACGTTACAATACAGATACTCAAAAAACTACTTGGTGACAGGAATATGAAGCAACTGGTGACATGACTAGATGTGATCTTTCAAACCTAATTTTTAACATGCATAGACTGGGTTGTTTGAGATTCATCGAAACACTAAAACAAACATAACCTCATTCCCTCACCTGAAGCTAATAGTGTTTAATATATAAAAATATATTTGCTGCATAAAAGCTGACAGATCAGTTGAAATTATTTTTTCCTTAGAGACCCATTTAAGATCAACACATATCATATATATCCTTTTATATTTGGCTTTACAGCTGATCCCCCTTAAAGCAAATAGCGAAGCAATACATCCCACTGATTTCAACAGAACGTACTTTTACTACACATTTGGCATAAACATTTTAAGGTAATCTAGAACTTTATGCTCTTTCAAAAATTATACAAGCAAGAATCCAATCTATTCTGTGGGGTTTTAGGGCACTTTCCCCTTTTCACCACTTTATTTCCCCATTGCCATTGTTTGACGCATTACTGAAGTCATAAATCTCTATTTGCTTGCCTCCTGGAATAAGCTTCATCTCTCCAAGTTTTAAAATCTGGAAAAAACAAAGATTGATATCCATTAGCTAACCACAAAGAATCACTTTGCTGTAGTGGTTAAGATACCAGACTAGAAACCAAATGATCATGAGGCACAAAATCAGCTGCATGACTCTGGGCTGGTCACTCTCATCACTAGGAAGTAGGCAAAAAGCAAGCTACCTCTGAAAAATCTTTCCACAAAAATTGCAACAACTAATCCAGGGAGTCAACAGGGGTCAAGACTGACCTGACCTTACATATATACAAACAATAATCACAGACAAATATTCACTTGTTTGTATGTTCAATGACCTTAACACCCAGTTATGAGACCTCCAAGAGTTACATCCCAAAAGTACATGTATTCCTAGTTCCTTAAAAAAAAGCTCCCAACTGTCAAAAGAGAACAGCAATAACAGCAATAATCTTCCATAAAACATCCACTACTACTGAAATTTACCAACATGAGTTTCATACATGCAGAATAATAATAAAGCATACAATGTTTTGGCCAAATGACATTATTGCCTTACATCTGCTACAATCCTCTATAACACAAATGGATGGCCTAATAAAAAAAAGTTGATTAAGACTTCTCTAAAGATAGAGATTTGAAAAACTACTTCTATGGTATTCAATGTTGACCACAGGGAATTCCTAAATTTTATCATGATATTCTTTCTAAACTTCATGTACAGCAAGAAGAAGCTCCGTTTTCATTGGCAGAGGGTTGCAGGAGGCCATTGCAGCCGGAAATAAGGCTCGGGAGCCCTTTTTTGCTGGCAGAGTGCTTGGGCCGCCACAGGCACCCCTGACATGCGTGACATCGAGCTGGCCATACCCATTCTGGCCAAACACACCACCCCTCCAAGGTCAAACACAACCCTGATGCAGCCTTCAATGAAATCGAGTTTGACACCCCTGCTCTAGGCAGCTTAAATAAATGACAAAGAATAGAATAGGCTTTCAATGTACCAACAAGCTCAGAATACTAAGAGGAAACTACTTGAGGAAATGATCTCTATTCAACACATTTATTAGTAGACAGTACTTGAAATAGAGATAACAATCTTATACTTTGCTAGAAACAAATACCGTTTCCTTGAAAATAAGACCTCCCCAGATAATAAGCCCAATTGGGCTTTTGAGCGCATGTGCTAAAATAAGCCCTCCCCGCAAATATTGCAAAACAGCAGCAGCCATGAGGTGACCACGCTCACCGTCTCCTCAAAAATAATAAGACCTTCCCAAAAATAAGGCCAAGTGTTTATTTTGGAGGATCAAAAGAAAATAAGACCATCTTATTTTTGAGGAAACACAGTATTTTTAATAAGCAATGCTCAATGATAACGTAAGGTGTTTTCCCGAAAATAAGACAGGGTCTTATTTTCTTTTGCCCCACAAAATATGGCCTTGGGCTTATTATGGGGGGAGGGCTTATTGTTTTGGGGTTGCCGGGCAGCTTCTCCCTTGCGAACTGGTTCCCGAAGAGCTGGGCACAGCCTCAGGGGTGAAGCACCATGAGGTAACCATGCTCACGAGCAGCTGCCCGGCAAACCCCCTCTCCAGCCGGGCAGAGCTCCATGCACTGACCTAGGGAGTATCCTGAAGGTGCCAAGCTGTGGGAGCTGGGGAGCAGGCAGAGCACCACATGGCTTGGCGCCTTAGGATATCCCATAGGTCAGTGAATGGCACTCTGCCAGGCTGCTTCGCCCCTGAGGCTGTGCCCGGCTCTTCGGTAGCTAGTTCGCAAGGGAGCAGCCACCTGGCAACTCCTTCCTCTGGCCAGACAGAATGCCATTTCCCAACCTAGTGGTATCCTGAAGGCGCCAAGCAATGTGAGCGCCTTTCCCCCCACCCGGCTCCCGCAGCTTAGCAACTTCAGGATATTGCTAGGTTGGTGAGCAGTGCTCTGCCTGGCCGGAGGGGGGGGGTTGTCCAGGGGGCTTATTTTCGGGTGTGATGGTGTTATATTTTTGCCCACACGAAAAATGTGGCAAGGCGTTAGTTTCAGGACAGGTTGTATTTTTGGGGAAACACGGTAGAAAATGCAATATGAATATAAAATCTTAAACAAGTTTGAGGAAGTTGGCAAAGTATAGAATAGGCAAACAAAAGTTATCTATACGAGGGATTTACAGTCGCAGCTGGACTAAAGGATTGAAACCAATGAGGGCGGATCCAGGGGTTTCTATTTTTCAATGGAAGTGTCCATCTCAATTTCTCTCTTAACTTCAAGAACAGGCACACAGGATTCCAAACACCATCTTTAAAGTAACAATGGTAGTTAGAAATCACTTAATTTTGAACATAAAAATGGACAATTGGAGAAGTTTTATAATTTTGAGAGAAAAAAATGTTCTCCTTCCAAAATACATTTTAATACAAAAAGTTCCACAGAGAACATCCACACATATTCTTTTATTAATTCCACGCATATTTTATTGCTTTTAGATGCAAGTGTCATGCCCACTATTAATATTAATGGGATTCATTTCTGAGTACTTAGAAAAAGTATCCTATAAAGATATAAAATGCAATGATATGTAATATGAGTGCCTTAATTTTATTTGCATATTATTTAGTTATACCAAAAGGTTTTAAAAAAATAAACAGCAAGCTATGGCAGCCAAGATACAGATATCCTTTAGTTCCTAATAGCTGCATAATACGGGGTGGAAAGAATCAATCCAAGAGTTCTTAATCATTTGAATTTAGACATTTCCTCCATAAAGTCTCATGAAAAAAACATATATGTATAGAAAGCAAAGATTATTTTTTTCAGAAAATATTTTCAACTTTCTTATACAGAAAACTTTATCTAGCCTAATAGAAAAGGGTTTGAGTTGTACTTAGATTGACAATATTCAAGTGTTGTAATATTTTAATATCATAGAATGTTGCAGTCATACTTTTAAGAGAAAACTTAATACAAATATGTTAAATATGTATTTCAATCATAAATCAATTATACATAAATTTGGAAACAATTCAGAAAATGTGCTTGGAGTATAAGCATAATGCCAGTCTACAACACTTTAGAGTAGGAGTGTCTTGGGGTTCTATAGTTATCCTCTGCACCTGCTACATAATCATAGAAAACGATGCCCCTACTTTAAGGAATTACACAAAGATGCTACATTAATACTCCATAAATATTCCAAATGCATTATGGAATGAAATCTGAAGTACTATGACCCACTACTTCATCACTTTTTCATCACTTAAAAAAATGTTATTAATTTTTCCATTAACAAGTCCCCCTACCTACTGACACTCTACTTTGTTAGCAAATCTTGAGGCAAATCACTAATCTTTTTTGTAAGATGGAAAATTGATATGGAAAGATGGCAATTTGTGCAAAGGCACACAATGAATCAAACTGCAAAAGTACAACTTGGACCTAGCTTAAACACCAACGCTTGCCCACATGATTGCGCTACCCAGTATTTCTTGGAAATGGCTAGAGTTATTTCAAACATCATTTCCAAATTTCATTTTTCTTTCACAAATATGTATACTCATATCGACTAAAACTAGTTTGAAAGTATTTCTGCATGAATTTCAGAGGAAAATGGTCTTATATGCTCACATTTAAGTTACTAATGGAGAACCACTATTGAGGGTCCTAGCATCAAAACTAGGCTTTCTAAGAACACAACCTAATAATAAGGAGAATTGTTAGTTTTGCTGTTTGGACCAGTCTCTTTTCCTCACTTAAGAAAATGTTCAAATGTAAGGGAAAAAAACCAGTTAAATAATACTGGCTCATTCATTACAACTATAAGAATGTCTGGGAATTATGAATAATTTGCAATTTTGCAAGGAAAAACCATGTCATTTTTATATTAAATCTATATTAAATGACATTAAATACATACATCTTTCATCACATAAATATTATATTGTTACTAATGTGCTAACTGGTACAGATAGTTCTCGACTTACAACAGTTCATTTAGTGACTTTCAAAGTCATATTGGCACTGAAAAAAGTGACATATGTCCATTTTTCACACTTACGACCATTGCAGCATCCCCATGGTCATGTGATCAAAATTTAGACACTTGGCAACTGATTCATATTTATGATTGCAGTGTCCCAGAATCATGTGATAATCTTTTGCAACCTTCTAACGAGCAAAGTCATGAGGAAATCAGATTCATTTTACAACCATATTACTAATTTAACGAATGTGGCAAGAAAGGTCATAAAATGGGGCAAAATTCACTTAACAAATGTCTCCCTTAGCAACAGAAATTTTGGGCTCAATTACGGTCATATGTTGAGGACTACCTGTGTTATATTGCCTGTTTTTATATTGAAAACTACTTAGTTGCAATCTTGGGTAAAATGAGGACCCAGACTGTGGGGGCAATATGCTGACTTTGTAAACCGCTTAGAGCAGTGTTTTTCAACCACTGTGCCGCGGCACACTAGTGTGCCGTGACACAGTGTAAGGTGTGCTGTGGGAAAATTACTTTATATATAGTCAATATAGGCACAGAGTTAAATTTTTTTAACACTTTCTAATGGTGGTGTGCCTCGTGATTTTTTTCATGAAAAAAGTGTGCCTTTGCACAAAAAAGGTTGAAAAACACTGGCTTAGAGAGCGCTGAACGCCCTATGAAGTGGTATGTAAGTCTAACTGCTATTGCTATTGCTACTGCTATTTTCCAGAAATAGAATGTAAATTAAAATGTGATCTTTATAAAACAACAGTGTCACTTTTTGATAAGGCAATATAGTTTAAGGAAATGTAATGGAGACCATGCTTTAAATCTAAGTATCATACAGATGCTAAATATCAGATGTGATAATGACCAGCAGTTACAGGCAGTTTAAAAGGGATTGGATAAATTCAGAGATATAGCTTTCAATGCCTACTAGTTGATGCAGCAATAGTACCACCAAAATGAAAATGCTTTAAATTCCAATTAGAGATCAGAAGTAGAAAAGAGACATTACCAACTGGCTGATTAGCCATATTATGACACTATATAATAGAAGCTTAGGCCTTGATCCAGTAAAGCTCTTAGAAATGCATACAATTATAGATCAAGACTTCACAATGTTGCACATTCCAACTGAATGGGCAAGGGAAATGCTATAAACATTTAAACATTTAGTAACTTCCCTCTGGGCTTAATCTTTCTACAGTTTAATTAAAGCAACACATGATTTTTTTTGTTTCCTAATTGCTCTGGTTATTGTTAATCTATAAAAGTTAAATATAAATGCCTGATCTTTTATTAGACACATGCAATATAATTTTACAATTCTGAGCCAACAGGGCTATAAGTGCACTCGCTATGCTCTAGTCAGAAGTAGGTACATTGATATTGTAACATAACATATGTTAGTCTTGGAGGTCTTGGAATAGCTTCAGCAAACAAAAAATAGTATACAACAGTGCTCCTTAACTGCCATTTAGGGTGGGACCCTTTCTTGTTGGGAATAAAACAAATTTGTACATTCTGAAAGCAAAAGAGTTAATGGATATCAACTATTCAATATGATGTATAATGGTCAGAAGCCAAAGAAATACTAATTTCCTCCCAAGAGCCAAGTTCTTTTTCTCAGCTAAATTCCTTTTCCAACCACGAGGTTTCTGAAACCATGTAAGTTTTCAAAAGCAACATTTGGCAATAGACAATAGATTAATTGCTTCCTAACAAGCTATTAATGTTACAAAATATCCTCATGTGGTAGTTCAATAAAAATTAGCCAAATACTATATGGAAACATAGGTTTATTATCAATTGTTAGGAATGGGACTAGAGCTACCAAATGCCCAATTCTAAATCATAGAAACAGAAGCAATTAAGCCACAGACTCGCTTTCCTTCACACTTGTACTAACATTATACATCTGGTTCTGGTAGTGCTAGAGATGACCCTGAAAGAATCCCAAGGTTCAGATTAATGAACTAGAAACAACAGGTGGCTTCCAAGGCCGAAACTTGCGTCAGATATCCCAAAGCTACCCAACCTAAAAAAAAAAAAATGTTCAGAGCCTGGGGAAGCCGCATAACAACCTTAGCAGAATCATTTTGTTGCCGTTTATCTTCCAAAAAAATCCCACCCCAACGCATTACATTTCAAAGCAGCAATTAGATGCAGATCGACTGCAAGAGCCTCAGCATCCTCCCCTCTGCATCTTATGTTTAGACGCAGACACGGGGCAGTGATGGGAGCGACCCTTCCCCAATTCTGTAGGCTCGACACAGAGTCTTTCCTTCGTCCATAGACCTTTCGCGCCAGACAAAAGCCTTCCAGCGCGAAGTATTTACGACCAGAGGGACCCTCGCACAACCCCCTTCTCCCCTTTGCGGTCTTCCTGGAGCAGCCCCTTCGCCCCCGGCCGCCTGCAGCTGCCCTTCGCCCCACCCAGAGGCTTTGTAGCGCCTGCCTGCCCTCCAGGTCACCCCGTCGGGGCTCCGCCCAGACCCGCCACCCGCACCCAGCCCCACGGGAGCCTGAACCCCAACTTCTCGCCCCACCCAGGGGCTTCTCCCCCCACCTCCCGCTCTCGCCTTCAGCAGCTCCCTCTTCAGCCAGCCCGACCCTTTGAAGCTGCCGCCGCCCGCCCACTCACCCCCCACTCACATCTGATACTCGTCAATCGCCTCCACCAGCTGCCCCCAGGAGTCGAAGTCGGTCCCTTTTCTGAAGCTGGCGCCCCAGCGCTGCAGAAGGCTTCGAGTCGCTTCCGACATGGTCCCAGTTGCTAAGGTTCCATCTTCATCCGCGGCCGCTCCGGGGAATGGGAGCCGGAGAAGCGAGGAGTGGAGGGGGCTCTCGCCGGGCAACGGCCGCTCGCTCCAGTCCAGGCAACACTGCCGCTCACTCCCCGACCAAGCCCATTTGCCTTCTCAGCCAAACCTGGCAGTCGCTTCCAAGGAGGCCCCGCCCCCCAGCATGGTCGGTTGTACCCAAAGCCGCCTTCCTCTCCTTGCCCTGCGCAGCGGAACTGGGGACGCTGTGGGCTCCCGACTGCGCGTGCGTGCGTAGACCTGAGCTATTGTAAACTTGCGAAGGCAGCCCTCGGAGAAGGCGCTGCTCGGTTACTTGTGAGCTTCTGTTCCAGCGGGCGGCCGCTGACGAAGTATGACAAGCCGCTACAGCAGAAAACTGCAGAACTTTCGAAAAGTCCCAAGAAAACATCACTGTTAAAAAAAAGTGGCTTTCAATGTGTTGCACCTATAAGCACGCTGATTACACTGTCACAGAATATATGTGCATTATGACCCTCTTTCATTATGATCCTGAAAGGAATATATTCTGCACACTTATTGTTACTTTCGGCATTTACCTGAACTGTGAGGAAAAGCTTAAGCAAATTCCAAGTTTGCATTGGGGGGGGGGAGTCAAGTCTCACATATTCCTGGAGTATAGCTGCCTCGACTTACACGTGAGGACAATAGTTACGTTTTTATGCGCACTAACTTTTACAATATCCCTTGCCAATAGTCTTTTGATGCGTTACTCCTGAGTAAGAGATGCTTTCAAACTTTCTTGAGGTTCACTTGCTGCCGCCTTTCATCACAAGCCAAACATCAGATCGCCAGACAACCATCCCTTTCGATGGCCCTCTGGCTTTGCACACTTCACCGCACTTTCTCCTTCACGCCTCAAACTGAGCCAGCAAAAGGGGAGGCTGATTAGTCACTATCCTTCTGTAGCTAGAAACGTGTAACAGGTGCAAAGAAGGCAGTCGGCCAATTTCCACCATTCTCCACCATCTCTTTGTGCATTGACTTTCAGAGTCAACTAATCCCTCTCGCTCTGCTTCGCGGAGCAATTGGGCTGCAAAAACCATGCACTCCTTCGGCGGGAGGGGGGGGGAATGACGCCTTGGCAAGCCGAGAGCCGCCCGACTCGATTTCGATGCTACCATTTATATGTGAAGCGCTTCCGCCCGGTTAGCGGGACCTTGCCAGGTCCAGGAAGGTCACGTGATTTTCGCCTAGGGAGTCGGGCGGGTTTCCTTGGTTTATTATTGCCGAGGTCACCCTACAGAAGTTATCCTTTAACTCCTCTACAATTTTTGGATCTCTGGCATAGAGTAGAGAATCTTCCGAGGTGGGTGAGTGGTAGGAAGCTTCTATTTATTATCTCGTAGGCGCTTGTATTTTGTCTCCTCTCTTTATACTGCACCTGAACGCTGGCAGTGATGAATCTTAGCGGCTTCCTGCTTCCCCGGATTGTTTCTACGGTCAAGCCTTGCTTCCACGGTCGTGGAATCAAATACATTCAGTATAATGATTATTCCCTTTTATTCTTTTGTGAAATATGCTCAGTTGAGAGTTAATTTCGAAACGAATGGCTGTCGTTTTCCCCACCTCCTTGCATTCCTAAGCTTTATTTCGTCTGTTCTTATATATACACGATCAGTGGGATATTTCTGGGCCACTTAAGGACAAGACCATATGTAAATAATTATTAATTCTCCTTTTCCCTTTTAAGATTTCTTACCCTTATTATTTTACTATTACGATCCACAAGCTTTTCGACCACCAATCACAGCGTAATTTCAAGAACTGAATAGAATTAAAGCAATCATTTCCGCCTTTGTAAGACTTTAACCTTAAACGATTTGTGAACATCGCAATCGTTTTAACTCGGACTGCTTTGTTCTTTCTCCGCTTGTTCGTCTATTGTTTAGTGTTCCCAAGACAGGACAAAGTTGGGGGGGGGGGGGCTTTGTAAAATAGATGTAAACACAAGCCCTTTAGAAAATTAGAAGAGAAGCAGGTTTGATGTCGCTATAAACAGAAATAGAAGAAATGTGAATACTTTATATAGTAAGGAAGCAGCTAGTTTTAAAGTGGATTTAGTCTTAATTGACGAAATTAGTATGGTATTTTCAGGAAGATGATATCAATATAGAATCTCAGGCTAAGCAGCTCGCGGGGAGTGAGAAAAACAGAGGATTATTCCCAAGCACTTACTCGGGATGTTTACATCGCAGTTGTACCTAAAGCAGAGAAAGAACAATGAGGTTTGCCAGCTATGAGTGGGCGTGGCCTCTGGCCTGTTAACTCAGCGGGTCCTCCTTCACTAGAATCAATGAGACTACTTAGGGGTGCCAACAATCATGATGAGGAAAGAGCCTGACTTTGAGGCTTAAGGAAATCCCGCTGAGGCTTCAGCAAACGAATAAGGTTGGGGTGCATTTTGAAACGGTGGGTGAAAACCCGAAGAAGCCGTATTTATATATCCGATGGAAAACCCGTTCGGGTTGACGTACTTATGCTTCCTTTTGTGGCTAGTCTGTTGTGTTTCCGAGAGTTCAGCTGGGAATTGCTACAAACCGGTCTCAGTGTGGTCGCTGTACTGCAGCGTCATTCAAACATATAGACTCCAAGGCCTGTCAATGAGGCTGGGACTAATCCCGAAGCACAAGGAGCACCAGGTTTCCAATATAGCCGAACCCAATTCGAAGGAGCACTTGGCAAAGTAGTTGATGATAGCCAGAAAGAAAGCGAGAAACCGAGTTTAATTCAGGTTATCCCCAAAACCGAATAGCTTGTTGATTAGAAAGCACACCATCGTGTCTTCGGGAAATGGCTTTAGGCACGCATTTGCCAGTGGAAACAGAAGGCTGGAAGAGGCGAGTCTCTTCCCTTGCAGAGAAACTGCCCGGGCTTGCATTTCAGCAGAGCCACCGAGAGGCGAACTGGGGCCTTGCCGCCTTCCTTTCATAGTTCTGGGGATGCGGCTCCTCCTCCTGAACTGATTTCCGTAGAGCTGTACGGTAGTGACTACTGCTGACAAGAGTCCGCTGGAAATCGAGAAGGTAAATAGAGCAGCCCCACCCTAAGCAGAGAAGGCGGAGACCAAGTATGTTTTTGGGGGAGGCTTGGATTAATGCTGGAGGGGGGGGGGCGACTTGTTCACTTTGCTGTCTGCTAGGGAGGAAGCGCAATTACTGTAACGCTGGAGAAGGAGGCCTGTGTGTTACAATATATGATGGGCAGAATTTCTGAGCACTGAGACAAGCTCTTTTTAAAGGTTCCAGTGTTTTTTCTTTGAAGCAAAAATTCAATACAGGTAGTCCTCGGCTTATGTGACCATTCATCTAGTGACCATTCAAAGTTAGGGGCACTGAAAAACAGGTCTTGTGATGAGTTTTCACACTTAACGACCATTGCAGCATCCCCATGGCCATGTGATCAACATTTGGATGCTGGGCAACTGGCAATGTATTGGATGGTTGCAGTGTCCTGGGGTCATGTGATTCGCTTTTGAGACTTTCTGACAATGCAGAAGCCAAATTCATTTAACAGCCATGTTACTCACTTAACAACTGCAGTGATTCACTTAATGTGGCAAGAAAGGTGGTAAAATGGAGCAAAATTCACTTAACAACTATCTTGCGTAGCAGTAAATTTTGGGCTCAATTGTAGATGTAAGTCGAGGACTATCTGTATATGAAGGAGTATTACCTTGCCTCTTTTCCATTCTACGGAGTTTTAAATTTTGGCTGTTATTTTTTTTTAAGGTGCAACTTGGGGAAATCTTGATTAATTATTATAACTGTGTGTAGTGGAGACAGCATAAACAACAAGGAAAATCTTTATCTTGCTCATTGTTCAAATTTCTGTCTGGGACTAATAAGCAAGCAATGCCAGAAGTTTCTTACATAATACTAGAGAAAGGTGGTGGGTTTATTTACTGTATTGCATTGGGAAAATATCTAAGGCTATATAGTATAGGTAATCCTCTACTTACAACCATTCATTTAGAGGCCATTCAAAATTACAATGCAGTGTCCCTGGTTATGTGTTCACCTTTTGTTATTTTCAAAAAAGCAGAGTCAATGGGGAAGCCAGATTCATTTAGTAAGCATTTTACTCACTTAATTGCAGTGACTCACCTAACAATGGCAAGGAAAGGTAGTAAAATTGGGCAAAATTAACTTAACTGTCTTGCTTAGCACAGAAATTTTGGGTTTAGTTGTCCTTGTAAGTGAAGGACTATTTGTACAGTATGTCTTATCCTGGATCCAAAGAATCTCTTCCATTCTTTAGAAGTCTTCAAATTTGATACAATATAGGTAAAGGTAAAGGTTCTCCTCTCACATGCGTGCTAGTCATTCCCGACTCTAGGGGGCAGTGTTCATCTCCATTTCAAAGCCAAAGAGCCAGCTCTGTCCGAAGACGTCTCCATGGTCATGTGGCCGGCATGACTAAACGCCAAAGGCGCACGGAATGTTGTTACCTTCCCCCCAAAGGTGGTTCCTATTTTTCTACTTACATTTTTACCTTCTTTTGAACTGCTAGTTTGGCAGAAGCTGGGACAAGTAACAGGAGCTCATTCTGTTACGCGGTGCTTGGGATTTGAACCGCCAAACTGCCAACCTTTCTGATCAACAAGCTCTTAGCCACTGAGCCACCGTCAGTCATTCTTGAAGGACTTTTTAATCAGCAGAAGTTAAAAGAAGTACTGAATAGAAATTACACTCTCCTCTGATATGAGATTTTAATCTTATTCCTTCAAGATTATTAGATCAGACTGGTATCCTAAAAGATAAAGATGAGCTAATTTAGGAGGATAACATTACAGCTGTAAGATATTTACTCTAATTACAATGGTTTCCACCAAGGTCCTCTGTTCCGGGCGGGAACAGAAGTTTAATCCTATTGGTCGAAGGGTCTGACAGCTCCCTATAAAAGGGCTGCTATCAGACTCAATCTTCGCTGGATTGTTCTCACTTGTTGTATTCAATAAAGAGCTGTTGTTACAGTTAAGCCTGTGTGTGCCTATCCATTAATCTAACAACAGCTATGAAGTCCCAATAGCAATTCCAAAAGCAATTCTTCTGTGAATTCTGAAAGCAAACAGAACATGATACTATGCCAAAAACCTTTCTCCATTTTGT